GGACTAGACAGCAAGGGTCAGATCCACCCCGCAACCCAGACTTTAAGTCTCAAAGTGTCTCTGTTAACAGTTTTCCTCCTGGGATATCATTGTTGCAGGGAGAAAGCCAACTCTGACTCCATGTTGGAAACTTGTTTGTCTGACTTGCTTTAATTATTATAATCATACTCAGTGGCTTGCCTGGAGGACCCTGCCCCTCCGCTGGGCTGAAAACTAAAGTGCCTTTGTTCAGCTCAGGGGGACATGGTTTGTCTCTGCCCACCTGTGAATAGATGAGATTCAGTTCAGTTCAGTTCAGTCGCTCAGTCATATCCGACTCTTTGCGACCCCATGGACTGCAGCACGCCAGGCCTCCCTGTCCATCACCAACTCCCTGAGCTTGCTCAAACTCATGTCCACGGAGTCGGTGATGCCACCCAACCATCTCATCCTCTGTCGTCCCCTTCTCCTCCTGCCTTCAATCTTTCCCAGTTCCAATGAGTCAGTTGTTCGCATCAGGTGGACAAAGTATTGGGAGTTTCACCTTCAGCTTCAGTCCTTCCAGTGAATATTCAGGACTAATTTCTTTAGGACGGACTGGGTGGATCTCCTTGCAGTCCAAGGGACTCTCCATAGATGAGATTAACACACCCCTCCCTTGGAGATGTTTTTGCAAGACTGAAGGCCCTTTCAGTTTACTTCCCCAGCGCCTCTCCCTCTCTAGGCTTCATTTTGACTTTAGTTCCGGATTGTTTCTTTCTCTCGGATCTATAAAGAACCTAGCATCCAGATGCCAATAAGATGCTTATTTGGAGGCGCTAGCCTGCTCTCCTCAGTGTCCTGGCTCCCCGATTGAAAGTCTCTTTCTTGCCTCAACACCTCCTCGCTCGGATTCCCTGGCCTGTCCGGCCCTTGAGCCGGAGAAGGAAATGGCAACCCACTCCACTGTTCTTGCCTGGAGAATCCCAGGGACAGAGGAGCCTGGCGGGCTGCCGTCTATGGGGTCGCACAGAGTCGGACACGGCTGAAGCGACGCAGCAGCAGCAGTTAAACAGAGAGAGCTTGGCCTCTGAAGGGGAAGGCGTGCCTCTCCCTGGGTGTAAAGCCGCAGCCACGACCGTCGACCTTCATCAGCCCGTCAGACCCCCAGGCGACCCCTCTGCGGGATAGAACCTGGCGGCTGGCCTGAGCTCAGGGCACTGGCCTTTGTCTAAACCAGCGGCTGGGGCGAGCAGCCCTCCCCACCTCCCGCGTCCCCCGCCCCGCCCGCTCCCGGAGCGCATTCTTCGCATTCCAGCCCACTGCCTCGCCACCTGCCGAGAGCAGGCGTCACGCCCGCGGGTGAAAGCCACCCACAAGGCCACGACAAGCCTGGGGTGAGGCTGGCTGCAAAGCCACACCCAGGGTTGGTTCTGATTTCCTGCCACCCCCTCCCAGCGGGCCCACACCTCCTTTCTGAAGTTCTTACCGCTGCGGTAGGCGGTCTCCACCCCGACCCCCAGGACGCAGGGGCCGGACACACCCTTCCAAGGGCGGAAGGGCTGGAAATCCGCCAAACTATAGGCTGGCACGGTGCTCAGACTGTGGGTGCTCAGAATCTGCGGCCCGATGAGCCGGGTTGGGAGGGTCGTGGGGTGGGGGTGGGGGGCGGGTGGGGACGGCTCGGAAAGGTTCATTCGAGGCGTTTATAGTTGGGCCAGCCGAGCTGCAGCTGGTGAAGACTCCTGAGAGTCCCTGGACTACAAGGAGATCCAACCAGTCCATCCTAAAGGAAATCAGTCCTGAATGTTCCTTGGAAGGACTGATGCTGAAGCTGAAACTCCAGTACTTCGGCTACCTGACTCGAAGAGCTGACTCATCTGAAAAGACCCTGATGCTGGGAGAGATTGAAGGCGGGAGGAGAAGGGAACGACAGGGGATGAGATGGTTGGATGTCATCAGCGACTCAATGGACATGAGTCTGAGTAAACTTCGGGAGTTGGTGATGGACAGGGAGTCCATGGGGTGGCAAAGAGTTCGACATGACTGGGCCACGGACCAACAACCAGAGAAGCAGTGCCTGGCTGGTGTAAGTGGTATAGCTATAATCATAGGTGGCCTGAGACACAGTTCCACTAGGGGAAAAGAAAACAAAAAGTATCCTTGTGTGTCTGAAATTTGAACGTATCTGATCATCTTGCATTTCTTTCCCCAAATCTTCCCTGGTGTGTTTAAACCAGCTCCCGTGCACATTGTTGGCTTGCTCTATCATCTGCCTCTTAGTATTTTTAAAAATAGTTCTTTTGAAATAATTAAAGATTTATCAGGGATTTCCCTGGTGGTCCAGTGGTCAAGACTCTGTGCTCCCAATGCAGGGGACCAGGATTCGATCCCTGGTCACGAAACTAGATCCCACATGCTGCAACTAGGACCTGGAGCAGCCTAATAAATTTTTAAAAAAAAGAAAAAAACATTTATCTGAAGCTGCCAAGAAACCCTCAAGGGAGGTCCCCGTGCAGCTCCATGCCTTCCCCACTGTGCACATCTTTGTAACATCACTTTTGTCCAACAAGGCTGGGCTGGAAGTCACCCTGGTCCCGCTGATTACTCGCCAGATCTGTCTACCGCTTGCTGTGGATTCATGGGCATGGCACAGTCAGGTGAGCACCCGGTCAACTCCAGTTTTATTTTTTAGTGTAAAGTGATAGTCGCTCAGTCGTGTCCAACTCTTTGACAGCCCATGGACTATAGCCCACTAGGCTCCTGTGTCCATGGAATTCTCCAGGCAAGAATACCGGAGTGGGCTGTCATTCCCTTTTCCAGGGGATCTTCCCAACCCAGGGATTGAACCGTAGTTTCCCAGCTTGCAGGTGGATTCTTTACCATCTGAGCCACCAGTCATTCAGCCGTGGCCGACTCTTTGCCAGCCCATGGACTCTTTGCCGCCAGGCTCCTCTGTCCATGGGCTTTTCCAGGCAGGAATACTGGAGTGGGTTGCCATTCCCTTCTCCAGGGGATCTTTTCCATGCAGGAATCAAACCCATGTCTCCTGCAATGCAGACAGATTCTTTACCAACTGAGCTATAAGGGAATGCCAAGGGACCAACCTTGGGAAGCTCTTAGAAAAAGTTATTTTTTAAACTTTGAACCACGCCCTCGGGCTCCTGGGTCGGTGACACTTCTCACGCCCAGTCTCCCAGAGGAGCTTGGCAGGGACTCCACCCTTGGGGTGCCTCGGGATGTGGAGGCTGAGTGCGCACCTCCCCCTATGAGCACTTGCTCTCACTTGCTCCTTGGAAGAAAAGCAATGACAAAACCTAGACATGAAGCCAAAAGCAGAGACATTACTTTGTCTGGAAAGGTCCGTACAGTCAAAGCTATGGTGTTTTCAGTAGTCATGTACAGATGTGGGAGCTGGACGATAAAAAAGGGCTGAGCAACAAACAATTGATGCTTTGGAGTTGTGCTGGAGAAGACTCCTGAGAGTCCCTTGGACTGCAAGGAGATCCAACCAGTCCATCCTAAAGGAGATCAGTCCTGGGTGTTCACTGGAAGGACTGATGTTGAGGCTGACACTCCAATCCTTTGGCCACCTGATGCGAAGAGCTGACTCAGTTGAAAAGAGCCTGATGCTGGGAAAGATTGAAGGCGGGAGGAGAAGGGACAACAGAGGATCAGATGGTCGGATGGCATCACCGACTCGATGGACATGAGTCTGAGTAAACTCCGGGAGTTGGTGATGGACAGGGAGGCCTGGCGGACAGGGGTCGCGCGGGTAGGGGATGAGGGAGTGGTACCCAGTGTGTGGGCGGGGCGGAGGCGGGGCGTAGCGGACGCGAGCAGCGGCGGAGGCGGGGCTTAGCAGCCGGCAGAGGAAGGGGCGTGGAGAAAGAGGGGCGTGGCGGAGGCGGGGCTTAGCGGAGACTTGCCGGAGGTGGGGAGTAGTGGAGGCGCAGAGGAGGCGGGGCCTAGCGGAGGCGTGGCGTGGCGGAGGCGTAGCATAGCAGAGCGCAGAGAAGGGACGGGGCTCGGCGGAGGCGCGGCTTAGCGGAGGCGTGGCGGAGACGGGCCTTAGGCGAGCGCAGAGAGGGGACAGGGGCTAGCGAAGGCGGGGCTAGCCGAGGTGGGCCAAAACATCGTAGAGTAGGAAGGGGCGTGGCTAGCGGGGCGTGGCTAACGGGGGCGTGGCTAGCAGAGACGGGCCGTGACCGAACGCAGAGGGAGGCGGGGCTGGTAGGGGCGTGGCCAGCGGTGGTGGGGCGGGGCGGAGGCGGACCGTAGCCGAACATAGAGTAGGAAGGGGCGTGGCTAGCGGAGGCGGGGCCACGCCCGAACCGCGCGCACAGGGTCGGCGACGGGGAGGGTGGGCAGTGAAGGTCGGTAGCCGAACGCAGAGGGGTCGTGGCTTAGCGGAGGTGTGGCCAGTTGAGGCGGGCCAGAGCCGAGCGTACAGTAAGAAGGGGCGGGGCTTAGAGGAGGCGTTGCCAGCAGAGACGGGCCGTAACCGAGGGCACAGGGGGCGGGGCTTAGAAGGGCGTTGTCAGTGACGGAGGGACCAGTGGGGCGTGGCCAGCGTAGGAGGGACAAGCGGAGGCGGGGCGTAGCCGAACTTAGAGTAGGAAGGGGCGTGGCCAGCGGAGGCGCGGCCAGCGGAGGCGGGCCCACGCCCGAACCGCGCGCGCAGGGTCGGGGCCGGCGCCCGGGGCGGGCGCAGGGAGCGCGCTCGCGGCCCCGCCCAGCCCGCTTCCGCCGGCTCTTCCCTCCCTCGGAGCAGCGCGCTCGCTGCGGTCGGCGTTAGGGGCGGCGCACGCGGGCCCCGAGGAATGCACGCGCAGCCCGGCGCCCGTGGCCTCCGGGACCCCGCCTCGCCGCCGCCGTCGCCGCGCACCCGAGCCGCGCCTCCGCAGGCCGCGGGCTGCTCTCTCCAGCCGTCCCTGCACTGAGCGCCGCGCCGCGCCTTTGTCCCCGGCGCGCTCGGCCGTCCCCCGGGACGCGCATGGCGGGGCCCGGCTGATGCCGCCGCCTCCGCGCCGCCCTCCGAGGCTGCGTCCGCAAGAGCCCGGCCCCGCGCGGACCCCTCCCCGCGCCCCGCGCCACCCCGGGACCTCTGCGCGCCCCACATGGAGGCGCGCGCGCTGGCCGAGGCGGACGCCGCCGGCCCCAGAGAAAGACCCGCGGAGCCCACCGCGGACGCTCCCGAGCCCGAGCCGCTCACCTACCGGCCGGAAGATTTCCACATGCGGGCCACCGTGGGTGAGTTCCGTGCGCCGCCGCCGTCCCCGGAGGGTACTCGGGCCCGCACACAAAGGGGTCGCGTGCGCTCGCCTCCCCAGCGCCGGCTCCCGGGGCGCGCCCTTCTGGCGCGGTCCCTCCCCGCCTCCCTCCGCGGGAGTCCCCGAGCGCCCCTACACTTGGAGGGCTTCTCCCGCGACTCCCCTGGTCCTGGAGAGCCTTCCCTCTCTCCCGATCGTCCAAACTCTCTTTATTTACATCTCTCCCCACCCGCCAGAGTCCCCCAGCAACCTTCCCCTTGTCTGGACTGCCCCCAACTTCCCGAGCGCTCCTTGATTTAGAAGTCGTCGTTCGTCGTCGTCCCCCCCCCCCCACCCCGCCCCGTCCTTAAGAGCCAACCCACCTGAAAGACCTCTCCGGATCTTTCAAAGTCTCTTCATTGCGATTTCCCGGCCGGTACCCCCCGCCCCTCCCCCCCACCTGCCAGCAACCATCCCGTTCTCTGGACTGTCGCCCCCCACCCCTCCCCAGCGCTCCTAGGTTTAGAAGGCTTCCCCCCGCAACCCCGGCCCCTGAGGTCTCGTCTCCCCACCTGCGGGCACTCTCTCTCGGTCTTTCAAAGTCTCTTTATTGAGATCCGCTCCCCACCTTCCCACCCACCCCCCCGCGCGGTCTTCCCCAGCAACCATCTCGTGTCTGGCCGCCCCCACCCCCCACCCCGACGTCACAAAGCCTGCCGGGGATCACTTCACACTGGTGGGCTCGCGCGGGCCCTCCCCACCCCGCCCCCTACCCGGGCCGGACTCTTGGGCGCACAGGCAGCTTCCTTGGAGACACCTGCCGACCTCACCTCGGTCAGCCTCCCCTTCCCCTGCCCAGCGGCAGGATGCTCCCGCTTGGACTTTAGAATTCTGGGGTGTCCCGTGGCGTTCTGGGGGGAGGGTCCTTACATCGCAGTTCTTTTCCTGTGTGCATTTGAACATCTGGGGTGGCCCATGGAGTTTTGGGGGGCAGTGGACGGCATTGGAGGTAGATGACAGCAGACTACACGTTTCGTTGCATCCTGCTCCTTTTCCTGTGTGCATTTGAAACTTGGCTTTTTTTTTTTTTTTTTAATGCAACACTAACTTTACACCTCTACCTTTGTACCTGACCACTCCTACGCAACTGAATAGGTAAAGTTTCCCGGTCCCTGGGCGCCTGGGTTGGTTTCTGGAGTCTGCCTCCGAGTGGTTAGAATGTCCCAACCCCACAAGGGTGCTTCATCCAGCCCCCGGGGCTCAAGGCAGCCTGTGACTTCTTGACCACTCGTTGTTGCTAAGGGCCTTGTGCCAGCCTGCCCGTCTTTTGCCTTTTTCATACTGTTGCGGGGTTGTGGAGAGACAAGAATACCGGAGTGGTTGGCCAGTGAAGGACAGGGGAGCCAGGTGTGCTGCAGTCCGTGGGGTCCCAAAGAGTCAGACATGACTTAGCAACAACCATCACTACCCTCTTTTTTCAAGGGAGGAAGCATGGAGTTCAGGATCATGCTTGAGGCATCATAAGAGCAAAGGGCACAGCCAGGGTGGCCTTGAAACTTCCCCTTTTTTTCTGTAACCTCTTGGCCGAGTGTAGTCAGCAGTGAGGGAAGGGTCCCCAAGAAGCCTGATTTGGGTCAGAGTGAGTGGACGGCGTCCTCCGTCTGTCCCGCCGTTCGCCGCCTCTCCTTGTCTGCCCAGTTCTCTTCCTCCTCCCATCCACTCTGTCTCTGCCCGTCTCTTCCCTTTCCTGTCTCTTTCTGTCCCTCCTTCTCAACGTCATCTCTCTCCCGTTTCTGTCTCTCTGTGTCTCGCAGCTTCTCTCTCTCTTCCTCCCTCTGGGGCACTCCACTGGGCTGATTTAAGAAGCTGCCCGGGTTTTTGTGTTTTTTTTTTTTTTTTTGCAGGGTAGCAGAGGAGGTGAGAAACCCCAGACCCGGGGCGGCAGCCCCCCCCGCCCCCGCCCCCAGCTGTAAAGTGCAGATCAGCAATGGAAACTTGGTGGAGGCCCCGCCGGCCCCTTGGCACCCAGCTCTGGCAAATTGGATCTGTTTGGGGGCACAGAAGCCAGTCTCTCCTGAAAGATGCCAGGGCGTCGGGCGGGTCCCCCCCCGGGCGGGGGGTTGGCAGACGGGTGGGCTGCGGGCTTGACGTCACCTGGTGTCTGCAGCACCCTGGGGACACTCTGGGTGCTTGCCTGGTGGGCATGGGGAGCCCCTGTGAGTCATCTGGTCCTTAAAAATAGAGCGTCACTGCCTCTGGGGACGGAGCGGGGCCAGGTAGGGTAAGACGAGCTCTCTTTGCCTTTCTTAGTGAAGAAGATGCTTATGCTTGAAGGATAACTTCCTGTGGGCTCCAAGGGTATGAAGGGAGAGCCAGGTCATCCATATTTAGGATGTTGGACTAGGTCAGGGGTGGGACCAAGGCGGGGCGTGGGGCGGGGGTGGTGTGTGTGTGTGTCTGTCTGTGTGTGTGTGTCTGTGTGTGTGTCTGTGTGTGTGTGTGGCTTTGGAGCTTTGCTGACTTTTATTTATTTTTTTTAATTGAAGGATAATTGCTTGACAGAATTTCATTGTTTTCTGTCAAACCTCAACATGAATCAGCCATTGGTATACTGCTGACTTTTTCTTTCTAAGTCACATTTGCTTTGAAATCACCTTTTGCCAAGACCTTTTTCTTTACTGTTAAAAGATTCGAGTGAGAATCTTTTAACATTATAATGAGGCAAACTGCACTGCCCGAGGTGCTAAGAAACTCAGAATAGGCTTGAAGAAGTCCTAAAGCCTCCGGAGGTGTCACAGTTTCCAGTAACTTTATATCATAAGGTGTCCCGAGCAAAAGCGAGAGGCTGCCTGCTGTTAGCATGCAGTCCAGACTAGCCTGCTGTCTCTTCATCCTAAGCTTCCGCTCGGGGAAACTGCAGTTTCCCTTTTCACTGCTTACGAACCCATGCCTCACCAGCCCCCATCACACACAGGCACCCCCAGTATCTGTAAACTGTCTGTACGCACTCTTCCAGCTGAGGGAGGCCTTTCTGCATGACGTTAAAGGAACCCACACGCAAAGCACAAAGCAACGTGACCGCTCCCGCAAGCCTCTCGGCCTTTCTTATTGCAGGCCCCACCCCCTCGGAAACTTCCAGAATGAGTCAGGGTGGCCGGACCTGTCCCCCAGCCTGAATGTGTCACTCGCCCTGTTGTGTCCGACTCTGCAACCCCATGGACTGTAGACCCGCCAGGCTACTGTGTCCATGGGGATTCTCCAGGCCAGAGTACTGCAATGAGTTGCCACTCCCTTCTCCAGGGGGATCTTCCCAGCCCAGGGATCGAACCTGGGTCTCCTGCATTGGCAGGCGGATTCTTGACCAGCGGAGCCAGCACCCTGAAAGCTGTCTCAGAGCCCTGGCCTCACACAGTCAGGCATTTGCATCAGGTCCCGCGTCCACTCTAGTGGGTGAGCGCTTCTGTTTTCTTACCAGCACACATTTTTTTTTTCTTTCATCATTTCCTTTTGCCTGTGAGCTGAGCCCCAGGGGGAGTGAGCTGTGGGACCGATTTGCTGACTCACCATCTTCCAGGGATGGTAGTGATGACGTTTGATCTCTTATCGCAGGTGGGCACAGGTGTGCTTCTGCCTGATGTAGCAAAAAAAAAAAAAGGGGCCAGGGCTTGTCAGACGGTGGGACACCCCCCTCCGCCCCCCAGCCTCCCCGCTGTTGGGCGGAGGGACCATGACCTCAGAAGCCGGCTGGAAGCAGACGGCCCACTTTGTGGGGAGTCCACGACACCTTGGAGGACTAGACTAAGGAAAGTCAGTGAGCAGGAAGTGATCAGATGCTCTTGTTCTGTGCTCCTGGATAAACCCTCTCCGGGAAAACTGTCTGGAATTGTTGACTAGTTCTCCACGAATTCAGACAGCTGGGAAGAACGCTCGGCTTGTGTTGGTGAAACAATCTCAGGAAGGGCATTTTTCTTTACTCATTTTCAAAATGTGTATTTACTTGGCAGCGCCAAGTCTTAGCTGTGGCACGTGGGATCAGGTCCCCCGACCAGGGAGCGAACCTGGGCCCCCCCCTGCACTGGGGGTGTGGCGTCTTATCCACGGGACCGCCACGGAAGTCCATGAAGGGCATTTTTAAAAGGGCTTGGGGCGGCGGGGGTGGGGTGGGGTGGGGTGCCATCTTGGCTAAACTGACTTCCTGGATTGGAAAACTCAGGCTCAGTTACAGCAGGAATGGTTGGCAGCCACGCTGGATTTCTTGCCATGAGCACGCACAGTGGTCCTGTTAAAAAGAAATGTTTGGGAATTATACTAGATGCGCAGGGGATTCCGAAACCCTCACCGAGTCTCGTGCATCAATCACAAAGCTTTCCTTCCTGTGACATCTTCGTTAGCTGTCACACGCTATCCACACCAGGAGGTCGGCTATACCTATGGCTGTGTTTAAAGTAGATAACCAGCTAGGGCCCGCTGGACAGCTCAGGGAACTCTGCCCAGTGTCACGCGGCAGCCGGGATGGGAGGGGAGTCTGGGGGAGAAGGGATACGAGTGTGTGTATGGCTGAGTCCCTCTGCTGTCCGCTCGGAACCATCACAACATTGTTAATCCGGTATGCTCCAGTGTAAAATAAAAAGCTTTTTATCTTCTGTTTTTTTAGGAAACGAACCAGGATGTTGGAATGGGTTCCATATCCTGTTAAGAGAGCATAGCCCCCATCACTGTGCCCACTTTTCGTGGAAGCTCTTTTGAGTGTGTGAGATGGGTGTGTGTGAAATTCTGTGCAGTTTTATCCTGTGTGTCTGGCCTGCCCCCCGTGGCCGAGATAGAGATCAAGGCACAGAACTCCTTCCCTGACCAGGAAATGTGCTCACGTCTGACTTTTTTTTTTTAGCGTCGCATCACACTGTCAGAAAGCCGTGTGTTCTTACACGATCTGGGAGGCCTTCCGTAGTGAATAATTAAACCCGTACTGGTCTCTCTTACGATCATTTTCCTCTCAGCTGC